AAAAAAAAAAAAAAAAAAAATCAGTGTTTACTCTTTTCCCCCCCAACTTTATTGAGGTATAATTGATAAATAAAAATTGTATGTATTTAAGGTACACAACTTGATGTTTTGATCTACATTTGAGATACACTGCAAATTAATAACCACAGTCAAGGCAATTAACATACCCATCACCTCACACACATTTATATTTTTTGGGGTGTGCTCAGAACATGTAAGATCTACCCCACAGCACCTTTCCATTAGACAGCACAGTATGGTTAACTCAAGTCACATTACTGTACAATAGATCTCCAGAACTTAGCATCTTGCATAATGAAGCTCTGTACCCCAACGGCTTCTGATTAGAAAGGACTTTTGGATCTCCACAAGAGAAGGTGGGACTGAAGCATGAATGGGACAGCTGAAGACATTCACCTTAAAAACTAATTTTCAGTACAATTCTCCACCAAAGGTTAGAACCCGTGAGGCCCACTCTCGCATTTCTCAGATGCCACTTGCCAGAGGTCCCTGCAAACCATCTATTGGAGAATGTAATAGGATTTCTTCTCTCACAATATCAGCCTCCACTGCTAAAAATATCATTAGTGGTCATAAAATTATCCAGCCCCATATTTAATCTAGCCACAGAATTTGCCTCTGTGACCTCCCAGGGTAATGAATTATAAGTGACTATCTCATTTTATTAGCGCTTAATTTGCTACTCTTTAATTTCATCAAATAACCCTTGTTCTCATATTATGGGGTCTGGGGAAAAGAAAAAACTGATTGGCCTTTGTTATGTCCTTCATAATTTTTAATATTTTATTCGAGTACCCTTTAGTGTCTCCTTTCCAGGAGAAGTGATTCCAATGCACACAGTCTCATCAGGACCATAGAATCTACTCTTATGGGGCCAGGAGGGGTTTCAAGTACATGTGTCTTTGGGGAGAAGAGAGATGAAATCATAATTGGAAGGCGATAATACTCTTTTCTTAACACTCTCCAGTGAAGAAAATCCCACTGTTTCTCTTAGTATATCATTTGGTGGCTCTCTGTCGGTTATAAATTTGTTCTCAAATACTTTTCTCACAATTCTTTATTATTATTATCTTTCCTGTTCCAGTCTCAGCAGAGACAGATCATTTCCCCCCCAAAATCTACCTTGTAGCCTTTCCATCACTCCCACTGCGTTTCTGTGGATATTCTTCTGCTTCCTCACAATACAAAACATGTAGGAACTGTATACCTCAAAACACCAGGAAACTGTATAAAAGAAGTTTTGTATTTTGATTTTACCTTTGTTCCTAATGGAGAAAAAAGAAATTGTGATGCTTTATTAGATACTTCCCCCTCCCCCGCCAAACTTTGGAAGAATAAGAAAGATTAAATTTCCCATGTTTTCTCATTTCATTCTTTCTGGGTTTTTATATGCAACTGTACCACCCAAATTTGTTCCTAGTGTTGTTTCCAGTTGTTCTCTGATATGAACTTGTACAGTTTTCAACCCAGACTCTATTACTGAGAACCTCTTGCTCTGTCTATTTTTTCTGTGTTGTTTATTGTCAGTTCTAATTTGCAGCTTCTCGGGGATCAGCCACACCCTCCCACATGAACCAGTGCCTAGCACAAAAATAGCTGCTCAGTAAGTCTGTTGCATCACAGTAAATTTATTTTTTACTTCAGACACTGAAACTAGTGAAATACCAACTTGATCGCATCCAGTCTTTCAACCTTAGCCACAGAAAAGGTTAGCTTGGCTAGAAAAAAGAGCCCTGGGTGATCAGCACATGCCTCATCCAGCCAGGCTCAGAAGATATTCAATTTATATAGATGAGCAGACTTAGCTTTGCCCAGTTCCTAAGCCAAAAAGATACAAGACAGGGGCTGTGCTGGGAGCCTGACCCTTACCAGCAGGTGAGGTCTACAATTAGTCTTCTCCCCAAAGCTTAGTATCCAATAAAAACCCTGGGTGAGCCGACTATAGGGCATCCAGGGCCCCACTGGACACCTGAACACGTGGTTCACTCTGTCACATTCTACTGTGTAAGCCCAGTCCTTAGAATCCAGAGGGATGCTCTAGAAACCAAGACACCAGCAACTTGAC